AAATCTAGAATTCTGAATAAAGAAATAACAGCAAAAATTAAAGTCAGCATCACATTTTTAATTTCACCATACTTTGAAGTGTTAAATATCCTTTACAACAGGTCACGTTAAAATGGCCACGTGGGTCACTTCAGCTGTGACATTCAAAGTAAAAGAACATCAGTGACCTGCAGAAATATGCCTTTAGACAGTCAGAGTTCAGTCCTGGAACTTCCTGTACTGCTTTCCTCACTCAAAAAAAATGTACAATCACTGTGTTATATGGTATTTTAAGTTAAGATGTTCTCAGTCCTTATCTTCAAGGTTTTCCTTTTTCTCAGAAAATATTTAAAGAGCCACTAGTTTTGCAAAGAATCAAACTTGAATGACAGACATTTTAAGGACAATGCTCAGGGCACTGAACTAGAGGAAGGATTTCCAAATGCTACATTCTACATTGGCCATGTCTCAATCTCCAAGTGAGATTGTAACATCCAAAAACTGTCTCACACAACTGGAGCTCTGATCTGTGCCCATATTTCGGTACTAGCACATCATGGGTATCAGCTCTCAGGTAACACATGTACAGACCATTGAAAACAATCTGAGTGCTCTCTGTTTTCCTGCTTTTATAATAACTGTAGGAAAAATTGTTTGCACGCTAGCAAGCAAACTTGGGTATCTATTTGAAATTAACTAGCAATCTCCTAGTGGGCAAAGACACTAAAGGGCAGCATTGCTGGATTTAAAAAGTTATTAAAAAAGAATTTTTTGACAAAGCAGACATAAAGAATGGGGTTTTCACCAAGTTAGGAAATTCTTCAGCTGGCTTCAATCATGTAACTAATGTTGTAAACATGTAACTCAAGAAGCTGAATAAGAAGGATTTTTGTTACTGAAATCAATACACTTACAACAATTCCTGAAATCTGAACATGGTACTTAACTAAGTGGTGATGGATTTGCTGTTGTAGTGCCTCTGCTAGAGACTCTTCAGGATGACTTTTAGCACTGATGACCCTCTTTCATGGACCCTGTTGTAGGTGCCAAAGTGTCTCTTTAGGTACTCCTTGTCTAAACATCCCTGTTTTAATCTTCATTTACAGGCAAAGCCTTACATCTGAAGAAACTAAAGGGCCTAGATCTTTCATCTGTATCTGCATTTAAAAGACACTCATATCAAAGGTAAAATTCCAGACTGAAAATATTTTCCAAGTAGTGCTCATATTGATATTCCTTTCCTTACAGAGTTTTAAAATATCTTATGGGTGCACAGTCATTATGATTTTACCTAAATGTCAATTGCTTTAGTGTAAAATACAGCCCCCTGCAAAAAAAGGTAAAGATTGTGTATCACTCTTTATACAATGATGTGGTGTAAATAATGTGCTCTCTTCTAGCAGGGACAGGGCTCATGTACTGGTGGCTCTTTGTCAAACACTTCAGTTACCTCAAATCAGAACATCTTTCTCAACTTTGAAGCCAGTTATTTCTGCTGTTTGTTTTGCTGGCATTATGTTCTGCATAATCCATGATTCAATTTGAATCATGATTTTTGAAGGGTTAAGATTTGGTTAAGGGTTAGAAGCAATTTATAGTGATCAAGATATAAGTCAGATAAACAAATGGTAAGTAAATGATAAGGGACGCAACAAGGTCAGGCTCTGGAAGTCTGTGACCTCTTTATTTGTGCTACTATGGTTTTGCATTGTTTGATGGAAAAATTCCTATTCTGTAGTGGCTGAATTATTGCTCCACCCCAGATTGAGCTGGATCATGCGACAGTGCTCCTAAACAGCAGAAGCAATTTATAAACTCATAGTGAAACAGTGAGTATAAATCTCTTCTTACAATATGGCAATTAAATTCCTTAAGAGCTACTAATTTTAGCATTACAGTCTCTGGATTGGTTTTTTTTATTTTGACAATGAAATGAAAATCATACAGAGATATTTGCTCAATGTTGTTTTTTCTGGGACTTACTCTGTGGTGGTTACCATGGAGCCATTTGTAACTAGTGAAGACTGAGAGTGCAAAGTGTCAAAAGTACTAAGACAAGCACATATAACACAGCAATAGGCAGGTGTCCTAAACTGAACTTAGATTTTGCTGTCTTTACTGGCATTTCAGGTCCCACACTGTACATCTCGTAACAGTCCTGTAAATATTTAACTGCTACTGCAAGTTTATGTACCAAGTTCTGGTGCTCAGATTGGTGGTGAGGCCTGACCCTGGCTGGGTACCTTGGGAACACCAGGGCAGGAAAGAGCCTGAAATGTTGGGCAGAGAGAGGAGGATGGAGCACAGAGAAAGAGAAGAAGGAACCCCAAGTTTGGAGGAGCAGACACTCCATGCTGGAGCATGCATGGGCATTGCAGCCCATAGAAGATCTGTGCTGGAGTAGGTGATGTTGCTGAAGGAACTATAGCCCATGGAGTCCTTAAAATTGAGCAGGGTGGAACTGTGAAACGAAGAAGCAGCAGAGAGAAATGTCTATGCACCAACCACTCTCCGCCCCTACTTGTACTGCTTGACAGGAGGTAGAGGACTCCCTAGAAGAGGAGTGAAGGTAAATTTTGGGATAGGGAGGAGTAATGGTGTATCTTTAGTGTTTGTTTTTGTTTCTTACTACACAAATCTAATTGGCAATAAATTAAATAAATTCTGCCCAAGTTCAGTCTGCATTTTCTATGAAACTAATTGGTCAGTAATCCCCCTGCCTTATCTGAGGCCATGAGCTTTCTCATCCTATTTTCCTACCCAATCCTTCTCAGTGAGGCAGAGTGAGTGAGCAGCTGGGTGAGTGTCTGGCCTGTAGCTAACTCACCACATTTCATCTGTCAGGGGCAGACAGACACAGAAAAAATCTTGGGGTTTTTGGTGCATTTTTAGAAGAGAGAGATTTGGTGAGTTAAAACTGTATTTGTGTGCAAGTGCATGTACACACAAGCAAATCCACATTTATTACATGCCTCCTACAAGAGAATCCAAAATGTACCTCTTTAGAAAAAGAAGTGTGAAAAAAACTACAAACAAGCCCAAACCAATTCAGCCTTATAAAGCTTAATTTCTGTAAACAGTGTCACTGTTGTGTGAAAACTCAGATACTGATATTAGTTTCTTTGAAATTTTAGACTTTTTCTTTTTAAAAGAAAACATTTACAGTGATAGGTCAGATAGTGCAATAAATATGCTACCAAAATATAACATAGGGTGTCACTGTGGTTAAAGCTGCAAAGCAATTCTTGGATTTTGACACAAAGGAAGAAAGCTTAGGGAGAGAACAAGGAAAAGGAAAACCTACTGCTTCTTTTGTTAGCTGCTTCTCATCTGTCACCTTAAGAACTACATCCATGCACAGGAAGGAAAGACAACACTGCATCAACTGTGGTCATAACTTTCTGAAGTCTTCTTAGCAGCATATTTTCTGTAGAGCAGCTGAACTCACAAAGACATGGATATAACTCCTCTTCAAGTTATTTAGATTAGAACATGACAACTGGAAAGTCATCAGAAATGCAGTGATAGGTCTCCATTTCTATTTACAGTATTTACAGTACTTGTGTGAATGCAAAAAGGCATTGAAAATAGGTGTTAGATAATATTCAAGTGGCACAACTCTACAACTCTGACTTGGGATATTGCTTAGCCATCCTGTTAAATGCAGAAAAATGTATTTGCATTCCTCCTAAGTAGCACCATAAATAAAAGCCCCAGGAGAATGCATGTGCCAGCATTTCTGGATACTATTTCATTAGCATCTCTTTTTCCTACAGGAAAAAGTTGGCTTTTCTTTGAAAGATTTTGATTTTAAATTTGCTTATTCAAGAGTAGTATTCTGACTTCATCGTATTACTCTCAATTTACTGTCAATAACAAATAGCAATCAAGTATAACATCACATGAGAACAAATTTTTGCTGTTAATTAATAGCAATACCTCTAAGATCTCACTCAAACGATTAAAAATATTTAAGAATATCATTGCATTATATTTTGGATTAATTTCTGGGCAGTGGTAGCATCCCTAATTTATTGGAAATAGAACTGAAATGTACATTAACTAAATTTTCTTAAAAAAAATGTCCTGGTCAATTACAAGCCTCACAAGAGAAGAGAGAGAAATTATAAAAACCTACTTCCTCAATTTCCTTCTTTAACTACCTTGTCATACTGTTTTACTGCATACTGAAGTAATTGTCTTTCCCATGTGCTTTTTTTATAAATGATCTTTCAGTTATCTCTATGTGAGCTTATGCAAAGACAGAGGAAGAGAAGTGGGGATGCTATATTCAGATTGCATTCACTGTCTTACAAATCCTGAAACTCCTTATCCATATTACACATGGAGTTCTATGTTGGATCTATTTGAGAACTGAAAGGGGAACATGCTGAAAGGCTGAAAAGTTCACTCAAATATAGAATTAAATTCTCAAATGCAGTATAATATTACACACACTAATCGGTATTATAATAACACCTGGGCCACTCAATGACAAAACTGGATATTTACTAAAACATTTTTATATTTCAAACAAAACTGTTATGGTGAAATATTCTTTAAACTTAAATATTTTTTATTCTTTAAAGTGGTCATATACAATACTTAAATACACAGTTCTGCAAATTAAAGCAGTCATGAGTCACCTCCTGTAAGCACAGTAGCAAAAAAATTTGAAAAGGCAGTCCATAATACAATACATAAAAAATAAACAAAAAACATAAACAAATACAAAACATGAAACAATAATGAAAACCTCTCAGATGATCCAGCTTCATATGAGAAACAGAATATTAGTGTCAATACAGACAAACACTGCTTTGGCATTTTCTGCTTTTCATATGAATCAGGATATTTTACAGAAAACCAACATGGACAAAACAACATCCATAGAAGCCTAAGGATGCAAATCCTTTTTTCTTTAACTGGTACTCTGCAAAGGCAGAGTGACTTGGTAAACTCAGAATATGTTATTTGAAAGAAACCATCAACTGATGGATTAGATTTCCTTGAATACCTACCAAAAGCTGTCCAGTGAAACAGATAAACAAAATGAAGGAAAGCAAGAGAAATGCAACCCCAAATGAAATTCCAAGAATAGATGTTCTAGAAGAAAAGGAAAACAGGTATTAATTTCTTTGTTGCACATTTGTAACATGACATGTCTATAATACTGATGATATGAAAAATTACCATGTGAAAATTGCAATTTCCAAACATCAATACCATGGAAAACCAATTCCAACACTCACTGTTGTGACAGGCATTTCCCCTGCTATTTTCTCAATTCAGGAATGCTTGAATAAAATTACCTCTGACTTGCAAAGTTATTACCATGAGGAGCTAATTATTTCCACACATACAAACACAGAGTACATTAACAGAAGTAATGTTTTGTTTTGTTTTAACTTTAAGAAGCTTGTATTAAAGAGGATCCTTATTGCTTTACTTTTTTGTTTTGATTTTATAATAATATAGGAGCCTAATAGAAAATAAACTTGCTGGTGGTGTACATCCACCCCTAAAAGGCATAAAACTGCACAGGTCAGTGATGTCCATTTTCAGCATCTTTCAGCAGAAGCTGTGATATCAGCTGTGATGCTGGTCATCTTTACTTAATGGTAACATTCATCCTTTTCTTCCCTGTTATAAATAGGCAGGTCTAGCTAAAGTAGCATCCCTGGATACTCAGTAAACAGGGATTCAGTAACAATCTGTGCATTCATTCATTCATTCATTCATTCTTCAAATGTGGAAATCTCTCTATAGGAATACCACAGTTGAGAATAATTGCTTCTTCAGGCACCATGTGAGAGCTTCTCAGAACATTTGCCTAGGGAAAGATGCAGTGGAACCAAATTATGTTTAATGAATGCCAAGAGAGAACCAGAAGCTCTGGATCAACTGAGTTGTTTAAGCATGGGAGCTAGATGCAGTCATGAAGACCCTCACCGGGGTATCTGCTTTCAGGTTTAATCCCAGATCTGACACTTTTACAGAATTAAAAAAATATTTCTCAACTCATTTGAGCCACATCTTATTTTATCAGACATTATATGCCAGAAATATTAAGAAACATTTTGATCTATTTTAACAACAGTGTTATATAAAATATTTTCAGGAAAGAACAAAAAAGCATTAACATCACCAACCAATTTGATTCCATTAAAAGCATTTTGGAGAGTAATTGATGAGCTTCCCTGCCAGCCATTAAGAGAACTTGTTATATATTAAGTATTAATCATTGGATTTTGGACTGACGTGCACTGATGAAAAACAACAACTGGCAATTAATAGCATATATTAATAATGAAATAATATTTTAATTTATTAATAATGGTCATGTGAAGATCAATATTACTTATAAATACATGTTTTCCAAGATTTTCTCATTGAGACTGAGACAGTAAGCTGTACATCGAAGTATTACAACTAGTCACTACTTTTAGGAATTGAAAATCTCATAAGCAACAGAAGAGATGAAAGCAAAGAAAATAAGCAACTAGGAAACTAAAACCAAAGCATGCTAGAAAAGAAACAGGTTTATTTTTTATATATGCATAAACACTTCCAATCATATATGTCTCTCATTAACATCCAAGGAACCTTTCATACATTTCATATCATAACTACTCTTTTCCTGATATAAAGAACACAAAAAAGGGGCCTGCACACCTTAAAAAATGACTCAAGAATAGCCTTTTCAGTCAAGTTTGGAGTGCATCCTTTTAGAAGAAGAAATGAAGATTTTTATGAGAGAAACTGGAGAGCAAGGGAAATAAAATTAACATGGCACAAAGAGAGTTAATGCAAAGAGTACTTAATCTCCTGGGCAACAGGCAAGAACAAAAGGTCTTTGTAGCTGTTTCATATAATCAATGATGTTATTGAGGGAGCACAAGAATTACACAGCAAGGTGAACAGGATAAAGAGAAATAGACTGAGAGTAACAAAAAGTGGTATCTTAGAATCCAGATTTGGGTGGTGAAAGCAGAGAAAAAAACCCATAGTATTTTTTCTCCCCACACCCCATTCTTTCCTGGGAACAGCAGGACTTCTGTTTCACTTAAGCTAAGACAAAATAGCTTCATGTTGCTCCTAGAAGGAAAGAAGTGGTCTGAAAAAGCTTGAAGGGAAGTAAAATGCTAAAAATTAATTGCCTCCATAAACAAGTCTCAGCTGAAGCAATGACCATAGGAAAGCCATATGATTTAACTTTTGTCACTGATATACTACAAAACCAGTACAGGTCTTGACAGTAAACTAACCTTGTTTTTTGTTGTAGAGTTATCAAATGCATTGCATTGATAGGTTCAGGCAAAATATTTAGTCAGAGGAGCACCTGAAACTTGCATAAGCCAGGTTTTTACCTGCCTTTTCTATGCTTCAAGGAATGACCTCATTCTGCTCTGCTACAGTCCCCCACCAGAAACCCAAACAGGACAACCCTTGACCATAATATACTGAGAGAGACAGCTTAAAACTGAAGAAACAATATGAGATTTTCTCAAACTTCAGGTAGTTCCATGTCTGAAGAATTTATGATCGTACATAAACTTGCATTTTTCTGGTTTCATTAGGAAATATCTGCTTTGAACAATTAATTTTTATCAGTGGTACGAGATTGGAAAAAAATTATATTATGTGTATCTTGTTGGTAACTATTTAACTGAAAAACCAAAATTTATTGATGAAGATAGATACTGAAAAATGCAGAAAATAATTTGTTTTTTTCTACAATTTTGTAACTTTCAGGAAAATATGTGACTTTTGGAACACGTCCTTTAATGCAGAGAATTTCCTTAGCGTGTAGATAATTGTTATCCGTATTCTGAATGATATGACTGTAAATTCTCTTGAGGTGATAAAATCACAGTGAAGCCACTGCAACTAACAATTATACAATACAATGCTGAATTCAGACTTTTTTTAGTATCTAATAGTAACTATTTATTTCTTAAAGGAATTGATACTTTCACTAAGCCATCAAAAGATTCAATAGCTATGGAGACCGTTTCAATGTTAAAAAAATCAGTTCAGTTTTATAATTCCACTTGAATTATTGGTGTTTGTTTTAATACAGCAGAAAAATAGCCAGTAATGACGGTTTCCTCTCACTTATGCCATCTTATATATAACATGCCTGCTTTCAGACAAACTTTCTAAGTACTACCTTTCCTATGAAGAAATTCAGTTGTGCCTGATCAAAAATATTATGTGAAGGCCTCCTAACCCTGACTGTTAGTTTGGCATGACTCAGGACAAAAGGACACAGTTTCTTGAACACAACAGCCTCAGAGAGTGAAGACTTGGAAAGAATCCTAAATGAAAGCCTAAATACTATCCCTTCCCTTGAATACTATAAGAAGTATCTCCTGTTCAACAGAAATATACTTTTATCAATTCACCAGCGTACATTTCAAAAAATCAGCACTACCAATTCCATGTTAGTACCAATTCTGTTTGCTTAAATAAAGAGTGTAGGGTTGCTGAGAATTAATAGAGACACTTTTCTCACTTGGTAAACCAAGAATTCTAGAAAGCCACTGCAGGCCTGTTCCAAGGAAATTAATGATAAAGATTTGCTTTCATTTTAATGCCAATGAAGACCTATGCATCATCATACATTTCATCCCAAGATATTGTTTTTTTTGATTAAATTTATAATTACTGTTTTGTGTAAAGCTTATTATTAAAACACCACTTTACTGACCCCAAGAAAATGAAAATATTAATAAATTATTTCACCCTTGAAAAAAAAAGTCTTGTGATCTTGAAGATATTACTTAGTACCTGCAACTTGCTGTATGTTATCCATTATCAAATATCTATTTTTAAGTAGCAGGCTATGAGCCTGCACAGAAATCAATGATATTACACCTACTGCGAAACCAGATTAATGGAATAGTGAATCAATAAAACCCAGTGACAGATTTAGTTCATTTTCCTGTCTTCATTAGACCATCATTTAAAGACCATCTTGGAGAACTTTTGAAAGAAAACAAAAAAAGGGTAGATAGAATTTTAGTAGGAAATAACATTTGCAGCATCAGAGTATGTTCAATTTAAGTTGCATTTGTGATGATTACATACACTGGTGATTTTTCAACTTTTTTTGTTGTTGTTGTTTTTTAACTTGCAATGTTCCAATTTTTCCAGAAAATATGCAGGTGCTTGTATAATACCTTGCCTTTCTGTCTTCCATTTTTGCATCTATTAAAATAATACACAGACCATCTGATGCTGAATACCATTCATATTGGTAATACCTGATTTTACACTTTCGCTTTTACAATTATATATGCAGCTCTATAAAAGGATCATAAGACACTTAACATTTTGGTGATGAAAATGACAAAGCATTTATCAGTGTCTTTTGCTCTGATGTTAGAAATACCAGAAATACCAGCAAGTTGGAGGACATTTTCCTTAGTGGAATACAGCTCCCTAGAGTTCACTGATATTCTAATATATTTAAATGAGCTAAACAATTGGTTTAAGCAACATAGTATAGAACAAAATTAATATCTCACTACATGTAAGATAGATGATAAATCTAGTTTAATTTTCATGACTGAAGTCAAAACCAAAAAACAAATTCAAAAATCATACGGCTGGCTGGGAGTAGTTAGATCCACCTTTGGCTTTTGGGATGTGGCAAACCATGAATTTCCATGAATTATTTCTTTTACTTATCAAAATACAGTATGAGCTTGTAAAATAAAATTTGTCACGTGTCCTAATTTCGTATTTTTAATAATGCCCAAAGTCACACTCAACCATGTGCAATACACTGATGAATTCTTGGAAGTGTGTCCCTTGCTTTGTGCCTCCATTTTAGAAATTTTCTGGGAAACTGCTGCTGTAACATCTAAATAGAAGTCCATAAAACATTATACATGCTATACATCTGCAATATGGAAAGTCAATTTATAATGTCCTAACAGTTCCTTCTAGCTTTGAATTAAAATGTGAGTAAATACTACAGAACAAGACCAGTGACTCAGTTGTGGTTATAAATAATAATCCTGAAAGTACTCTACAGGAGTAAGGACTACAACTTAAGAATTACTATATGACAGGGAATATGAAGTGTTTGCTTTAGAAACAATTGCTATAAAACAAACACCAACTTTCCACTATATAAACAATCAAAACTTGATTGTTTAAACGTCAAAAAAGCAAAGTTTAATTTTAAGGAGTCAAATAAAACATCCTATATTGGACTTGTCTTCCAGTTTTCAGCCTTTCTAGAATAAGCACAGATAAAAATAATCTCATAATCTATAAATTCTGATTAAAATATTTATTACAGAATTGGATTTTAATATTCTAAAATTAGTTTTATAAACATACAATTTATGGTTTTTAATGCTCTGTTTCATGCTTAGTATAGTAGTAGTAGTATCATAATGATAAGTTAAATACATTTATTTATCACATTTCCAACTCTGTAATCCATTTTGTCTCACTCCAGTGTCCAACTGCCATGCTTATTTTTAAGTGCAAAGAGAAAAACTAAAAGGAATGAAGAATTTTTAATAATGTTTGGTGTAACACTATTTACTATTTACATTTAATAATGTTTGGTGTAACACTGGTGACAGTGTTTAAAATTAGAAACAAACCTAACTTTTAAAATCAGGCTGAAATGCCAAGTCTTTCCTGTTCAATTGAATTTCCATGAATTTGAAAATCTGTAATCTGTAATCTAACAATTCCAAATTTTTTTACTTTTTTTTTTTTTTTACACAAATGAGCAGATATACGTAGGAATGAATACACATTAAATATCACTTACTTTGGCAATACCAAAATCTGTACAACAAAAATGCAGAAGAATATGAGATAGGCACAAGTGACATAATACTTGAATGCAGGCAGAGTAGTTGATCGATACTAGAAGAAAATAAAAGCAAATGTTAACAACACAATTGCCAAAGCAGATGAAACAGCACCCAACTGTACTTTCAGCTTAAAGATGCACATATGTATAGGCAGTTTTTAGCAACAGTGAATTTCCTGTTCTTCAGTGACTTCATATCCACTCACATAGGGCTAGGGATTATTATTATATTATTATTGTTATAGTATTGCTCAAGTAGTTTTGCTTATTGAAGAAGAGCCATGTCAAAAGGTTTTGCCTTGTTCTTCCACTGAACAGACTATTCCAAAACTCATAATAAAATTAACACAAAAATTCCCTCCTCCAAAAAAAAAAGAAAACCCACCAAAAAGAAAAAGCTAAAGCATATGTTAAAATATTCTTAGGAATGGCAAAGCAGTCTTCACAGATTCCAAAATTCTTTGTGATTAATTCCTCAAACTGATTTTCAATTATTGAAAAATACTGAATGGGCTGAAACAGTTATAAAAAATGCAATATTCATTTAGACAGGAAACTTCTGAGCACAAAAGTTAGCAAAAGTGTAAGCTGTAGCAACCATACTGATATTTATTGAACCTATATTATTACTTCAATTAAAATATTTTATGTCTCTGTTAAAAGGCCTCATATGTCCTCTGTTACTACTGAACACTTGATATTCTTAGGAGAGAGTCAATTTGGTCTGTTTTGTCATTAGAAAAATTGATTTAACTCTAATTAGACTGTCTAGAGACATGAGAATTAAGCAATGAAATATTTATCAGAGTTGCTCTGCTATTTGAGACAGATATATCTAGGTTGAAACCAATTAAGTATTCAAAGGGAGATGATCTAAGTAGCTATCAAAGTTACCTACCCTATCCTAGTTTGTTGTTTGGTTTTTTTTCCAAAGGATGAAAGTTCAAGATTTAATTACTAAAAGAACAATACCAAAGATTATTTTCACAAGGTAGTGGAGATGCAAACTTCAGAAAATGGAAAGTGCATGAGCTGTGCCTTCCAACTGCTAGCACACAGCTGTGTCTCTGTGCTTAATGCCAAGTTCCGCCTATGAAACCAGTGCACCAAACTTTACATGAATATGTAGAAACTCACTTCAGCAACACAACAGCATTTTTCACTTTTGAATTGTGTGACAAATTAAAAGCAATTCTTATCACTTATATGACTGAATTGCAAGGCATAAATATGTCTTTGCTGGATGCGTACCTTTGCAGTAAGTTCTGCTCTTCCACCTGTCAAATATGTTTGTAGTGGTCCTGTCCAACAATTTTAAACCTTGAGCTGCTATTAAAATTTTACAGAAAAAATTTTACAATGTACTTTTAAATTTGTTTCATTGTTTCACACTTCTCCAGGAATTTCCTAATGAATGCAGGCAACTCACTCCTTAGGTTAAACCATTATTTTCTTTAGGTTAAACCTTTATTATCTTTCTGTACTTTCAGATGCCACAGGGCCAGAGAATCTGTTTAAATCAAAAGAAGACTTCTTACTAAGTTTTTTAAAGCCAAGACTGAACTCATGAGTCATTAAAAGGTAACAAAACAAGATAATAAAAGCTGGATCCAAAAATAGCAATTATCTCTTTGCTGTTCCACAGCATTCTACATCAATATATTAGACTTCCACTGAGAACACTGACTCAGCCAAATAACTTAGCTCCCAAATTTTCTCCCAAGTCATTGTCCAAAGTACACATATGATGTATTTCCCCCAAGTTCTCTTTCAGAATTCATTGGTTAGTAACACTCACATTAAAATATCATGTGTTACCAGGTATGTCTTTTATCCAGCCAGTGAACCCCCAAACACTAAGGATGAGACCACACCAGGTCTTGCTTCTTCTCTCTTAGGAAGTTTTCAAAACAGGCTCAAGGAGCCTTGAAAGCTTTTCTACCCTAATGCTTCACCAAGCAACACATGCTTTTGTCAGCTGGCCATAACAACTATTCTGCCGAGCCATGAAAAAATCTTAAAATCATTTTAGATGCTTTGAACTGAAAGACATCTACAAAAATAATCAGGTATGTATTCAACCACCACTTGGGACATAGAGGATACTTGCTGGACAGTACATGCACAGCATGATAGTACTTCCTCTAGCCCCTTCCCATCAAATTCACCAATTTATACAAGCTAGCTGTGGTCCAACTGACTTCTTACTTCCCCAAAGAACAGCATAGCTATTCAGCCATCAGCTGCCTTATGCTCATGGAAAAGCAGAAAGAAGCAACTCCCCAGTCTTCCTGCTGAAGCTGTGTCAGTGTGTAGAAATTTACTCAAGTTCCACAGGGCCATAAAAAAAATCAAAAAGGTCTGACTTAATGAACTAATTGAAAATAACTTACTTGTTTTTCCAGAGTCTTATTATAGAAAAGAAGAGATATCCTTTGAATGTCTTCAGATTTAAGCCACTGCCTAGAGGAGAGAAGGAACATTATCACTGACAGGAAGAAGTCCTGTCCTTTCCTATTACTGAAATGCAGTAAAATAAGAAAATAAGTTGGAATTAAACAAGTTCATGTGTATTGCAGTGTATATGGTGGATTTCATTACAGTAGAAGTAGAGACTGAAAATACCCTCTCCTTTCTGGCTTCTATTGCTAAAGCACACAAGAAAAAACAGCTCAGATGAGCAATTGTTTTTCTGCTGATCATGTCTAAGAAGAATCAACTGAGACATTTATATAATGGAATTCTAACCATGATATTTCACTCATGTCCAAAATACTGTAATATATCCAGTGGACAGAAGAGGACCTGGGACAAAAATAGGCCTTGACAAGGTACCTTTAGGAAGGACACTGTTAAAATATACAGGAATGGTGGGTAGGTAAGTTACATTTCACAAACTCCTATTGCAAACAAAACCGTAACAAATATTATTAAGAGAGGTGGAGGGCTTTTGTCTTTGAACTGTTTTGGTCTCTTGACCACTGCTCTGTCCTGTAGAGGTAGATTTTGACCTTTTTGCTCATTATAAAATCTTCCCTGCTTTAACATGAGAAATAGCATAAATACTTGCACTGAAGCAACAAATCTATTTTAAACTAAATGAATCTTGACAAAAACTAGACATAACTTTTACAAAATGAGATGTTCTAATATGAAAGTCTACATTTATGTTAATAGACACTCAAAAATACATAGACTATTTAAATCTCAAGAGGGTTTAGCTGCTTGTGCCTCAAGAGAACAATGCAAATTTGAAAACAAAAAATTAATTAAACAGATTAGTTCTGTGGACAGGCAGTACTTGAGCTTGAACAATAGTAGCAGGGATTGAAATTTTTTTCCAACATCTCCAGCAATAGCTTTAAATTAGGCTCTAAACTAATAGTGTAGCTAATGCCTTCTAAATAAAAGGGAATGTCTCAATTGACAGTCTGTAATGCAAGTAAGTAGCAGCAGTGAACCACAGGAGAACATAGCCTAAATTAGTCCTGGAGAACAGGAGTGGACAGAGTAGAGAGTAAGCTATTAGCTTTAATTTGTGAAATGGAAAATACTTGCTTGCTTGCCTGGGGGACAGTCTCCATTCCTGTGCAACCAGTTGCATTAAAAAAAGGGTCTGTAAACATATTCAGTTCTTGAAATGCTTAATGCAAAAACATATTTCCCTTTTTGCTCTGCAATGGTTCCCATCCATTTGTGATCATAGGATTCAGAGAAGAAAGGGAACTGGAAGGCTGGTGTACATATAGCACAAGTTTTTTTTGGTTCAGCTGTAATCTACAGGAGAAAACACTCAGTTTGCGGAATATTTTCGATAAACTGTAGAAATGAAAATGAAAGGTTTTTTTCCATTTACTTACAAAAATTAAACAATAAGTAACCCTCTTCCCCAAATAAATAGTTTACTAATTTCCTGCTTTTTCTTATTGTATCTGACAGGCAGACTGATTTAATTACCATCGGCACACTGCTAAAAAGTTCTCTCTGCAGATCTACTCCCAAGGGCCCAATTTGGTTACACACTTGATCACATGTAAAGTCAGAAGTGATATTTAAAGCACACGCTGCCTCATACTCCACACTACAAGCTCATGTTCTCAGAAACTTTTAGTTCTTAAAATTTCAGCAAAAAACCCTACTAGTTTTATGTAGCAGACACAGAGGTGTCTGAGATGAGGGAAACACACAAATGTAAGTGGATACTGAGTACAGAAGAGGGAGCACAGAGTCACACACCTTTGTCACAGACATAAGGCCTAACAAATTCTGCCTTCAGCCTGAATCCCTGATGAGTCTGAAAACTGCCAAAGTATTTGCAGGGACCTGGAGATGTCTCTTGCAGAACTAGGTATCAAAGTTTGGCTTTAATTCTTTTGCAATTCCAAGAACAACACAGACAGACATCTGAATTCTGCCTGTACCCACAGAGGTGTGTGGTTTCTTAGGGCTTGTACTGCTTGACAATGTACAGCAAAGAATTATGCACAGAACATAGCAGCCACCATGACTTAAAGGAAGAGAGAGCAAAGAGAGTGTGTGTCCCTTTAACATATCAAAGACTAATTGCCTTTACTTTAGCCCCCTCTGTAGGGTCTATATTTAGCCAGCAGATGGCCATCCCTCCATCTCATGCCACTTAGTGCTTAGGGAGTTCCCTAAGCACCAAGGCTTGGGAAGGCTTAGCTAGAGTTGCTCATCCCCAGACTCTGCAGGACAGGAACTTTGAGTCAGGAATGCTTTGTTCAAGATACAGGGAAAAGAAACCCATGAAGAAAGTGTGATGTTACACGTTAATGGCTAAGGCACAGAAGCTCTTTGTTCTTCACTCACTCTTGCAATAATGTTTTTTATTTTTTTTTCATTCCGTCATAGACCTATTTGCAATACAATTCAAATGTTACACTTAAAAACACTTAGAAAGGACAGTTTTCTCATGGACTTTCTTAGAAGTTTTCTCCTTGATTCACAAAACCTTTTGTTTAGTTTCAAAACCACTTGTTCACTCCACTGAACACAATATATTAATCAATGATAATATTGAGGCACAAAAATATTCACAATAATAAAGAAAACAAAAATGTGAGTGGTTTTGTGTCCTAAATGTAGGAAATATTTTATTTACCTTTTTTTCTGTGCTTAGCCTTCACAGAGTTAAAATATTATTGAATTACCTTGACATTTGAGGAATCAGCAGTTTTTATAACTTATTTCTGAGTATTAAACAATTGAATCATAGCTTTTAAGAGATTCATTCAGCAAATCAGTGCAGAGCTAGGTAGAGAATCTAGTTTTGGAAGGTGATATTCAGACTTTCTGATATATAATTCCTTATCTTTCTGCAATTTCCCATGTAATTCACAAAACACAATGAAACTTTCTCAGAAACCTTTTTTATCCCCAAGTTTCTCTGAATTTTATGTACTAATTAGATAAGGTAGGGATTGGCTAATATAAAACAACACACAGCAGGGTCACACCAATATTTTAATGTATTTATACAGACGCTTTACTTTTGACATCAGAACATCATTTTTGAAATTCTTTTACCAGAGCAAGTGAACCTAAAGACACAAAAAACATGCCAAAATTTATATAGCTGTTATAGGCAAGACTAGTATTATCAAAAGGCTTTGCCTATCACATGACCTCCTCTATTTCACTGTGTTCTCTATTACCTGTAACTATCAACAATCTTCTAAAATTACTGAAAAACATTTTCTTAAATCCAAGTATCATTTAATAGGACTAAAAGATAAAAAAACCCAAAATGTGACATATGAACATTTAATAATTGGGTGTAATACCCAGCTGATTAAAATTCTGAGTAAGAGAAGTAGGCGGGGAAATGTAATTCATCACAATTATTGTCGACATTTTGGAATGGAAATTCCCTTATTTCATCAGAGAAATATAGGAAGCTTGAAAACTTATTTTGGACTGGAATTGATTTCTTTCTAGCCTTATCAATTCACCAGGAAACAGAAAACATCATACTGCCTCCAGTTCTTCCTAGGACACAGAAAAAAACACATGGCAGGTTGTTTCGCCCAGCAATTTCAGCATGCCAGCAAGATTAGCCTTTTCTAAGAAACCAACCAACTGATTGAGACAAAATTAGACATTAAACTATGTTTTTTACTAAATGTAAATTAGACATTAAACTATGGTTTTAGGTGAAGTTTCTAATCCTGAGAAATTGTTTCTGTGACAATTAGGAAGCATCAATTTTTACATAATTCTGACTCCTGAGCCAGTTATTTCTTGTGTCTTCTCTGCACTCAGGTAAGACAAATCTGTAGTGTTACAGCCATGAGTCTACAGACACAAACAGATACAGAGAAAATGCCCTTTGTCAGGAAGATCAAGACAAGTCAATACCTCCACCATGATTCACAGGCACTGTCTTATATAGCAGAAAATGCTACTTTCAATATCATAAAAATGATACTTTCAGTATCTTCAATCTAGGACTTCCTACGCCATTATTAGTGACACTTTCACTGTTTTCAGACTTCACACACAGTTGCACATGTAGAAGCAAAAAATATTAAACACCGCCCTCTGTTGCAGATTTATGTCAAAGCTGGAATGGACAAAGACAACAAAGGATAGAGGATAAAGCCATACTTTTGGGCATTGATTCCATCAATGGCTTGGATCATCCTCTCATTCAGTTCTTCCTCAAATCTTCTTTTCTGTGATTTTGTTCTGAAATGAAAAATGTGGGAAGTTACTTCAAAATAACAGTTATCATAAACTTGTGAGTTTATCATAAATTTTTAACATTTATACTGCAATAGCAACTATAGGCATCAGGCACAAAGACCCTCATAATAAGCTCTTAAAAACCCATAAGCCACAGTCTCATGCACAAATACACACATGCACAAATCCAGAGCTTATCCATTAGGGAGCACTTGAATACAAACACAAGAAATTATTTCATAAAAAAGCATGAGAGGTCAAGAAATTATGGTCTAAGTCTTCCACAGTGTTATCAATTAAAGAAGAAGAATGGGAATATGCTCAAAATCACAAAGCATTCCTGTTTCTTGCAGGTTTTTTTGAAAACCTTGTCAGAAATGTATGATGATGACAATATATTAGTGCACTGAGGCATAATAGGTATCCCCTACCAAAATCCTGCTAACTCTTCTTTTCTAGGAAATACTTTACTGAGGCATAATAGGTATCCCCTACCAAAATCCTGCTAACTCTTCTTTTCTAGGAAATACTTTATTATTTTTAATAATAAAACTGAAAACTGAGCACAGTCTGAAATCAGTTTCAAGCATACCTCATGTTTCTCTATTTATGAGCCTTGTAACTTATTTGCAATGAAAACTTCTGTACTTTTGATAGGATTCAGCATGAACCAAACAGAGGACAATGAAAACTTCTGTACTTTTGATAGGATTCAGCATGAACCAAACAGAGGATCATCACAATGGCTTTACCTTTGCTAACATAAATTGCTGCAAACATCATAAATTCTTTCATTATTTTTGCTTTCGTTGAAAATGACATATCTCAAACATTGACAGGTGTTGTCTGTGTTTGAAAACTTAAATCTACTGCTAACTTAAAACCAATGTTTTCTAAGAAGTCATTAGTCAGATCTAAAATTTGACTCTTTCCTCACCAAAATATTCTTAACCTACAAATTGAACCCAGTCGAAGGTAACATGGATTTTTCTTAACATCAAGATTTTGGGTTATTTCTCTAAAACTGATAACCTGTTGCAGGTCAAATTAATTCAGCAATTGTATTAATGTACGTGCAGGAACTTTAAAAAATATAAGTGATTTCATGCCTATTCAATGCTAGTGAATTTAGGTAAGAAAGTGCTTGAAATTAATTTTTAACATAAATCAATCACAGAAACATGGCCCTCAATATTTGAAAGCATTTCAATGTATATTTATTTATATGGACTTTATAGAAATAAGTAATTTTTTAAGATTGATTTACCTCTCTCTGCAATGCTGAAAATGATACTGCCCCATGGGAACATCCTAAAAACAACAACAAAATAAAACAACACAAAACAAAAAGACCCCTATTAATTACAATATACTTTAATAACATTGTTGCTTTTAAAATTTAAAATTTAAAAAGAAAAAAGTTTCCAGTGTAAATACTTTTAGCATTTGATTAAAACTGTCTAAAAGAAAAATCCAGCTAGAAGTGAAGATGGAGTGACCTGGAATAAAACTCATCTATCAGTATAAACACAGGATAAACTAATAAAACAGTATGAATCTAAGACGGTTTTGCTTTACCACAAAGACTTCAATGCCACATACTGTTTGGATGTAGCCCAAACTCTTGCCAGCTTCCGCAAAAACCAATCTTATATGTTTTTGAAAAAACAGACCTGAGTGGACAAATACAGACAATGGTCATTATTTTTTAATTAATAGCAATGGCAGCCATCATGGTCACATTTATTTTGTGATTAATAGTGATAGCTGGGTACTTCCTGTAATGAATCTGTCATAATCCACATTCTGATGCACTATATTTATTAAACAAGAATATGTCTCATCAGTACAGGAACAAAACTGAATGCCAATGTTGAAAACTATCAGAATTTACCTTTACACATTCTCTTTTAAGAAATAGATGATAGTGAATGTACAAGCTATAAATTGATAGAATCTTACAGCAGTGTAACAGCATTAGTAAAATTGAAAAGAAATCTCTTCAGTGTAAAAGATGCAACATTGAATTATAGTACTATAAAACTCAGGCCTTCAACCACAGCTAATGACTTGCAGGTGCACCTTCAAAAGGCAGATGATATGGATTTGGTTCCTGGGGTACTCTGAATAAAGTCCACTCTAAGTATCACAATGATTATTTTAACTTCACAGCCTTTGCTCCAGGTTTGGCCATGTTTCAAACGGAGAATGTAGCTAAACAGTCAATAAAGCTCTAGGAATTTCTCTGTATTAAAGGATTTCCTTCCCTAAAGGTGTTGCATTTTGGCTTTATGTTCAAAACATTTTTCCACAAGATGAAGAGCAGCCACTGTACATGCTGTGACTTGGTGGGGTCTGAGCTCAGAGGATCAAATTTTGTACTTTAGTAAGTGTGGCAGACTCATTATAATTCAGAGATGAACTTAAAGGAAGACATGGCTTCTTAGAACCTAATCCAAAACTCACATTCCAATGGAAAAGCTTCCAGCAACTTCACTGAGTTTATGCCCTGTACTGCTACATGTATCTTCTTCTACCAGAAATAACCAGGTATTTAGCAGGGAGCAACATTTTCCTTTCAAATATTTCTATATTGTATGAAATTACATAAGTAGGCCCCTACTGTTGTGCTTATCTTGCCGTTTTCAGTAGTCATGCTGTCCCTGTGATGCAAGTGTGCAAATGGCTTGGCTGCTCCCCAGGATTCCAGGTACCGGGTCATGCGGACAGAAGCTCTCATTTTGGCTCCATCAAGAGTATGCCGAGGCCGAATGTGGTGCTGAGGGCTTCGCTTCTCTCCCTGGTTGACAGAGGACAAGAGGTGATATCAGTCTTTGTGTTCATGACCTTTTGAAGCAGTAGTGTGTCATCTGGCACCACAGATCTCCATGATTAGGGGCTTAAAAAGGGAGAGATGCTAAGAACCTGCAATTCTTAATGATATTGCTGGGAAATATCAGAGACTTATTTCTGAAGAGCGGGAAACATTCACACTGCTAACATTAATATTTGTAGGCATCAGTAATAGCTCTGATCAATATCTTACTGTAGTGAATTATTCAATAAAGAGATTAGTGGTCCTGCTGAAGGACATGCATGACTGGCCACAAAATAAAAGTACTACTAACCTTAGGATTGATTACAAAGTAAGTCTTAACATTATGCTCTTTCAGATATGGGTCCCTCACATCTCCGTCCCCATCTTCCACTTTGTAAGCTCCATTCAAATGTGCCAAGGTCACTGAGGTGATGTGAACACGGCTGAAATTATATTTTAAAAGAAGGACAAAGTCACAAATACCAATCAAAGCATAATTTAAACCTGATCAACATTTTTTACTTGCTTCTGGATACACCTTTTACTTGCTGTTTACTTCTTTTGCAGTCCCTATAATCTAAATTTTAGAAGTTCTAATGGGCATAAACCTAAAGGTTTCCATCCAGAAAAAAATGTTCCTTAAATCACAGGAAATACTAAGTGCCCCAGGATTTTTTTTCTTTGGTTTTATTTTTTTTTTTTGTTTGTTTGTTTTGTTTTGTTTCATTTTTTCCTCAAGACAGCACCTAAGAGGTATTCAGGCATCTCCATGAAGGCTGATGGTTAAAGACATGGTGCTTGTGCATATGGAGACATGACTGAAAAATCCACGTGTCCAAAGATTAACAGAGAAGACTCTTACCCTGGGACTCCCCCAGCTTCCATGTGATTGGCCAGGGTAACATCATGGGACCACACATCATACTGCCACTTCTGCAGCCCAATAACGCCACAAAGCACATTCCCAGAGTGCACTCCTACACGCATGTTAATATCAACTCCAGTTGCATCTCTCACTTTCCTGCAGTTGAGAATAAAGCCTCTGTTAATATACACAATAGGCCCTTTGTTTTCTTTTAATTTACCAGTCAAATGATGTGGATGGCACATCCCTGGAAGTGTTCAACACCAGGTTGGATGGGGCTTAGTGCAACCTGCTCTAGTGGGAGGTGTCCCTGCCCATGGCAGGGGAATTGGAACTAGGCAGTCTTTAAGGCCCATTCCAATCCAAAACGTTCTATCATTCTATGCTTCTATGAAAGCAGCAGTAACAACAGTAATAACATTTACCTGTTCTTAGCATTGCCTCCATTCTTTTAATGCTATGATTATATATTACCTTTCCTATTATCTGTATTTGCATCAATTCGTATAAATATTAATTCTCAAGTCTGTATCTTTAGTTCCTTCTTTTATATTAATCTGAAATTATTTGGGACTGCTGCAATGAATAGTGGAAATGTTTAGTCTCATGGTAGAACTTAGAGACTGTTTTTGGTCTAGAGGCTGCTTTTGGAGGTCTGGAACTACTGTTACATACCCTTTTATCTAAAGACCCAAATGTTTACATCTGAGACCTTCTCATACCTGTCATATCTGAGAGGACGGACAAAAACCACAGCACCTCACGATATTCCACAGGCTGGGGCTTGTACACTCTTTGGGGATATGGGCTCAGTGCCATTCAGGCTGTGGAGAACATAGGGTCAACAACCTTCCATACTCTTAGTGAATTCTGTACCCACTAGAACATTACACAGCGAATGAAAGGCTACCCTCACTGTCCAGACCACATGTAAACCTTTGACCTTTCCTGTGACAGACTTAAGTATCTGTTCACCCCTTCCCAAATCTCAGAAGAGTCCTACACACAAGATAGGCATTTATCTTTGCAGAAGTTCTGAATCACTGGTGGGTAACTGGGGTCAAGCAAAAAGAACATTTGCAGACATAGGTCATATGGGTACCTAGCCATGTATGTAAAGAGTAATAAAACTAATTCAGATATCTACAGGCTTAGACAGCTCTAAGAAATGGGAAGATCATAACTTAACTGGAATTATGAATTTAAACCCCAACTGATATGGATCCAAACCTAGTCAGTAAGGAGAAAAGTACATATACACGTGGAGAAATTTGGGGTGTTAATGGAAGGAACAACCAAATGTTGAGTGAAGAAACAACCCCAAATGGCTCCTGTATATGAGTTGGGTGCATAGTTATAGCAACATCTTTGATCTCAGTGATGAGAATCATCAGCTCTGTACCTTCTGAATTATTGAATTAATGTGACAGTTTTCTCTTTTTTTCTTTTATTTTGAAAGGGAACATAGAATGCAACAGGCCTAATTTGATGTGGTAAATCCTGCATTTAAGCAGTAACTCTCTAGTGTTTTTGTTTTTTTTCTGGGAAATGAAAGAAACAGTAACATGACTGAAAGTGTTTTAATTCTCTCTCAAGTGTTTTTTGGTATTTATTTTCACATTGCCACTTTATAATGCTCTTGTGTAGCTGACACACTTGAAAATGAACTGCCTGTAAATGATCTTTGTAAGCAGTTTGCAAATCACAAACATCAATTTGCTCTGCACAAAGTGTATGAAAAAAGCTTAGCACTTTGGAAAAAGGAGTTTTTAAAAACTGGGAAAAATGGAAGCAGAACCTCTTCTTAACCTCTAATTTAACCTCTAGGAGTGCTTGTCAAAAGACTGCCCTTCCTGCAGTATTCTGCAGAGCAAGCAGAATAAAGTCTGCTTTATAATAATCTCTCAGGTATTATTCAGTAGAGCAAGCGGAATTGTACCAGAACTGAATCTCTTCTTCTGTCTCACAAATTAACGAAACCATGGAAGACAATAATTTAGCAGTGTAAGTCTAGACAGAATTAGGGTTTACCACTTCTCTCCTGAACTCCTTGAACAATTGCTATGACAATGGAGTCATTAAATGCATTCAAGAATGTAGGCTATTACATCCCCAAAGGATGTTTGCATTACCTACAAAAGCATATCTGAAACCTCCCACCTTTATTTCATTTTCTGCTCTCCCTGTCTCTCTGGTTTCCTTCAGCACATCACAGTCTGTGTGCCCAGCCTGGCTGAGCAGTCAAAATACTCATCATGACTGTATTTTTCTTATTGAAAGTAGAAATTTGAGTTTGTAAGCATTCTGCATTTTTCAGAGGCATGGTTAGCTTGCAGGTAATTGTAACAACTTTACTCCATATAAGCAAGAGCTCAGGTCATTAAGAAAGCATTTACATACCTGAGCTTTATTCATCTATCATTCTGGACCACGATATCTAAGACTCACCTAGCCCTTTCTTACACACTAACACACTGAGTGAGCCTTAGGCATTTAATTCCCTGCAGATTTCCAGCTTTAACAGCATAGTTTTCTTTTGAATCAGACCTGCAGGAATGCAATACCTAAAAGAATTCTTTTGTTTTCTACCTAGCATTCAAAATGGTATAACCATCTTATATCCAACAGTTTCTTTCACTTTCCTCTGAAATGGAATTAATTTCATGCTACCAAATCAAAGGAAGTCTGAGAATGTGTGACTGAGGAACATGCAAGTAAGGAAGTCACCAGACAGACAAGGGGGTAGAGTCTGAGGAATGGAAACAGCACATATATTCACACACACACGTATTTTGCCAAAACAGATTAAGTTCTGTTCTTAAAGCACTCAGCATCACAGGCAGCATTGGCATTTATGGCTTGATAAATGCCATATAAATGACATTTATCAAATCCTGGGCAAGCAGGCTGCAGACTATAAGAAGCATTGGAATTGTTCCAACATAGCACAGAGGAACAAAGAAATTAATCAATGGGACTACAATCCATGTCTAAATGGGAACAATCCATAGCATAGGAAAGCCGAATTGCTCAAAATGGAGCTACACAACATTAAGTATGAGGACTGAATAAGACTTTGTAGTACAGATCACCTGACAATTTGGCAGAATTCCTCCTTTTTTGCTTCAAAAAGAACTGGAACTGAAACCATATTCAGGTGGTAAAATCTATATAGAACTACTAATACTACTACAGCAATCTATTTCAGTAGCTTACACACCGAGGGGACAGTTTGCACCTCAGTGACTGAATATAACAATGATTTCTATCCAACAAAAAAGATATTTCAGATAGACCAAGTCAAACATATTGAGTGACACACTGCCAATAGCAAGAGTATTACTACTCATTTTACAGGGCACAGTAGTATGTCCAGAGATGCTTCCAAACAAAGATGCAGCAACCACACAACAAAATATGGAGCTGGTTAATAATCTGCAATTTTCACTCACCTGCAGGGTGCAACTCTTGACATCATACTTTGAAAGGATTTGAAAACACAGGGTACATATTCCTCACTGCTTCTATAAACAGGACGTGGTAATCAGGCATCTGTCTATGGGAGCATTGTGGTTTCTGACTACAGTAATAAAGTCAGATCAGAGTATCCTTTACAACTAACATATAATTTTCTAGTCTAAAAGGCTGGTCTTACCAAGAACTTGATTGTACAGTATCAACAATGAACATACTTGATAGCAGCCCGAGCAGAAAGAACTTCTATATGAAATTTCTATTTCATAGAAAATGGGAAGTTCTGAAGGGTGAGGAACTGACAGATAGCTCTCTGAGCTCAAGTAAATCATTGCGTTATGATGTGTGACATACTTCAGTTCTTTGCGAAGGGCTCTTTATGGCTCAAGTCTAGTGTTGTTTTTCCACCACCTTGTAACATCCTATACTCTTTTCTCTTAAGTAACAAAGCAACAGGTTGATCAGAAACTCTATATAAAGACTTTTAACTCACATATCTCACAGAGCACACAGATGTTTTGAAATGCAAACCAGAAAGCTCTAACTTTCACTCAAAGACTGGGGAAAAATCCCAACATTTTTAAGCCAAGTAACAAAGGGGGCCAGAACTTTGGGACTGACACCCTTTTAACAACTGCTCTACAGAAGGGATGGTAACTTTACTTCCTAGTATGCTAAAAAAGCAATTGGCTTAATTATGATACTGTTCTAGTATATCTAAGTGAAAAAGAGAAAGCATTCAGTGAAAGCAACTGAACTGCAACCAAATCTGTAGACTTTAATCCTACTTGGCAAGGAGAAATACTCCCAAGTACCATTTAAAAAATAGATTTATTTGACACTATCTAAAGTGCAACCATTTTTGGATGAAGAAACAACATTTTAGAGAATGCAGCAACCTGATTCCTGTACTGAGGTTAGTTTTACAAAAAGATTGCTAAAGCAAGGAGATCAAAATACTAGTTTCCAAAAGTACTACACATTTCCCATAAACACATAAATGAGAAAAGAACCAAATTTTCTTTAGTCATCCCACCTGTAGATTACTTACCCTGGACTGGATTAGAAAACCAGATAACTAAAAGCCAAGACCCTTTTGTGACTACAATTACACACATATGAGGGTACCATTTAAGTATTAGAGGAAAAATTTTGTATGGCTACTTTTATCCTTAAGATCAACACAGTTCAACGTAATTATGTATGGTATCATGATGAGATGCATACCACACATCACAAGGATGGGCGAATTTCTTACTTTGCTACATGGACAGTGGTTAATGTGATCTAGACAAAAACATAAATTGGAACTTAAACTTACGAAAGAGCATTACAAGTTTTAAAATCAAAGTCCATCTTGTTAGAAAAAATGAATCACACAGAGGATTCCCAAATATCCAGACGGCCACATGATACACACTTTTACCAAGTGTAACTCACATGGATATACTATAATTTTAGTGAAAGGAAATGGGTTTTAAAGTTTTTTTAAAAGTTTGGTACTTACTTAATGGCTTCACACATGTCCAGTCCCATTTTCACACAATTCTTGGCATGATTTTGAAGAGATATAGGAAGTCCAGAAACACAGTAATAGCAGTCACCTAAGATCTTAATTCTCATACATTCATTTTCCTGGAGGAAAAAAAAGCAGTGAGACAGTCACTTTCAATTTGAAATACATGAATGAAGGCATACTGTTACAAAGACTGACTTAAATGACATTACAAAGTCATTCTACTAAAGCTAGTTTCAGTAGAGAATGGCTTGCTACAACAAAAATGCTGAGAGTTTTGTATGGTTGATCACTCCACCAGTTATGGTCCTTAATGGGCAAGAGCAGGAAGTAATTTCACTGCAAAACATGTTCACACCTAAGAATAAAGAGCTGAGTTAAACTATCATGTCCTCAATCTAAATAAAGCCTTTTTGTTTGAAGTATAATCAAAAAAGACATAGTCTTCCACATTTACATCTTTGAACATGTACTATGGAATACTTCCAGAAGCTAGCAATCATAACAGTATTTCTGTATGTTATACTCTAAGGCCATATAAAGATTTTTATTTTTTAAAAACTGAAATTTAATTTTAATTTAATTTAATTTTTAAAATACTGGACAATAGTTTTTCAACAAATAAAACACAGGAAATTTTTATCTGTTCTGAGGCTTCTGATTTTACCTCCACATATGAAGTTTGATTTCATTTTTATAAAAGTGACACCTAAATAAGCAGAAAAAAAATTCTGATTGTATTTGATTCTTTTCTTGAGTAATAAAGAGGCTGTGGTCAGTAATTAAAATTGATTTGATCAATATTGTCTCTCTTCTCCTTCAGTCTCATAAATGCTTCTTCTGAGATCAGAAAACTGACTAACACTTTCCTATACTGAGTTACTTCATCCTTGTTATAGCAAAAAATCTATTTAAAGAACTGTTCATCTGCTATTAACATTTATTGGGCACCATGAGTTGTCTCTGTTGCTCCTATTAGAGAGTTATCTTGGGTTTCAGAGACTGTGTCTCTGGCAGAAATGCACTGTTGCACTCAAACCAGAGCCAAATAATTTTCTTCAGGTTTCAAATCCAGTACTCCTTCCAAAGTTGCAGAAATGCTGCAGAAAGACTCTAAGAGGAAAAAAAAAACATTTTAAAGAGTGCTTTCTCACTCAAACAAACAGCAGCAGCCCATAGCAACCCACCTTTGCAATTTGATCAAACTTCCCAAACAGCTCATTTAACATGTGCACCAGCTCCCCTGGTGAGCAGTCACTGGCCAGGCGAGTGAATCCTACGATATCAGCGTACAAGATACTGCAACAGAAATGAACATAATCTTGCTCACAGCTTCCTTCTGCAAGACTCAGATCCATCAACCAACAGCAAAACCTGAAAGCAAGCGCCCTGGACTTCACAGGGATATGCCCGCACCCAAAACAGCCACTACTAAAAGTAGAGCAATAAATATAATTACATTTATAGGTAAACTTATATTTACTTTTATAAGTGTGATATTTATAGGTAATATATACCTATATTTATTCTTACAGGTATTACCTTCTCAGGTATAATCTATATAGGCACACCTATATTTATAAGTATTTATAAACATTCTATGCTTCTATCTGTTACAGTATTGAAAAAATAGAAATATTTTCCCAAGTAACAAATTAGCAATATAACAGCAATATGATAGTTTCAAAGAGTATTTGTGTTCACGAGAGAACATGAGCTTCCTCAAAAGCTTCCTACTGTTGTAGGATTTTTAGTAAATAATTTTTAATATCATTCAAACTAACTTCTCCAATTAAAAAAAAAACTAACAAAAAACCAAACCAAATGAAACAAACAAAAAACCCAACAGCAACAACAAAAAAAACAGGGAAAAAATCTTGTAAAGAAGAAAGAATGTTTGAAATGAAAGTGATTTACTTTTCCAGCTACTAGAAATTTTTAATTATTAAATAATTAGCTCTATCAGCAGAATATTTTATCTCAGATACTGTGTAAAATATGTATGTGGTACAGTAACCTCTGTTTACATGATACAAATCCTGAGAAATTGTTCCAATTAAGAAAACTGCAAAATTAGTATCTTACCACTGACACAAATTACAATTTTGACTAGTATACATGGAATCAGAATTTGGTATTTCAGCCTGAAAAATGAAGACATTATGAAAAAAAGCCTATTACTGTGTGGCTTTTTCTCAACAATTCTATTGTATTAATACCTTTGTAGCTCTTCTGGAGTGCAGCATTGTCAACTTTTGATCAAATTAAGGGATTCTACATATTAAATTGCTGAAAAACATATTTAAAAAAAATATTTTCTTAATTCCTCCCTAGACCCTTTACATTTTATTACAGTACAATACCTTACATTAGTGTGCCTTTTGACATACAAATTGTGGAAGTTGTTGGTGTTTTCCAGCTGGCCTGCCTTTGGACCTTGTAACCTCTGAATGATCTCTGCTTTCATTTCCATGGCAATGTGAGCAGGCAGTAAAGAAAGTAGAAGACGCTCCTAAAATTTAAAATGAAATGTCCAACAGTTTCTTCAAGGAGAATAAAGTTAGCATGGCATCAATACTGTGCAGGGCACACCCTACTGTCAATACTTGATGAGGCTTGCACTCAGGCCTGATAGGAGCTCCAAAGTTAATCAGTTCCTTGAAGAGTATGACAGAGATATACACACATTTCTAGGTAATACCTGCCTTCTTCAAGGTTTACTGTATATTAGAAAAAGTTTAAGCTAAGCTTAACATTTGCTGAAGTTATCTACAGGAATCTATTCAATATCTGAGTAGGATGCAGCAAATGAAACAAGAGTCACAAGGCCAGTCCAGAGGACTTTCAGGGAAATGCAGTCTGATTCAAGCAGGAATAAGATACATATTTTTATTTTTCTTTCATGCATTTTAAATGCTTTGCCATAATTTTAGCAGTTAGACTGAAAATAAAATACCAACACAGAACAGAGTGAAAATGTTGAACTTTTGCAGAGCATTTTGATAGGTACATCCTTCAGTATGGCATTTGACAATTTTATATATTTTTGATTAACCTAAAAGCACACTGAATATTAAAGAACCCTAAACCCTATGTATTTTTCCTCATAATTTGGTATTAGAGTCTTCTTCTTCATTTGATATGATGGTCTTCATCTTTTAAAGCTCTCTGACACCTTCATTTTCTCCATTTTACCTGTGACAGCTTTAGAATGATTTCCTACTTCTCTGGAAAACAGATCAACAAGAACTCTGCATGAAACATAATAAAATCCTTATTGCTTTATCATATTCCATCTTGAAACTGAACAAGAGTTTCCCATTTTCTCATAGCCAGACAGGAGAGACTCCTTCTGGCTAAGAATAAAAACCAATAGCCTGAACCAGTGAAGAGAGGGAAGGCATCTGAAAAAGCCTCTAGCAGAGCCAGAGAGAGAAACAGCTACTCCAGAAAAGATGATGACCTCAAAATGTGCATGATCCTCAGGTGTTACCCAGAAGGATGCACTCTCTTTGGTTCCAAACGTATTTTTGCAGAATTTGCAGTTCTGTTCAAGAAGGTATCAGAAGAAGTGTAGCCATTAATCCAATCCTCTGCCTGGGATAATTATTCCCATTCAGGTCTGATGACCTTGAGTAGAGCATGGCAATAACAGGGCTATAGACTCATCTAATATTTGCAGCAACCTTGGCTATCTATCTCTGTCAAGTATAAAAAAATTCACATTCCTCATAGCATTTGTGCACTTGTAAGCAGAGCATTCAATTATATGCAGCCCTGTGAAACTGATCCTGCAAATATTTGGCAAAAAACTTTTATTTCAGTCAAAGCATCTTGATTTGCTGCTAATTAATATTGAACTAATAAATTTATTAAATGAAAGATTAATTTAGTATGTTTAGGCATTTTAGCAAGTTCACATCCAAGAGACCAGTCTATTTTTCATTGCTTATGTTCATTGGCAATATTTCCCTTCCACTGCTCCTTGGTGGAAGTATTTTGCTAACTTGTAAATGTCTGTACAACAAATAATTTTTTTTTTCCAAATTGAAAACTTACTCTTCCACGTTGCTCTTTATCTAACAGTACAGGATTTTTCAGACGTGTTAACAACTATAATTACATGGTTAATGAAGGTGAGTGTGAGGTGAGTGCTCTTAGCTGAAATTTTACATCACTATACTCCTTTTGTACAATGGATAGTAAATACAAGGTAGTTCACTATGTTCCTATGACTGTTACGATTCCACACACACAGTGATGCAGACACTCAATGTCCAGGTTACTGCTTACATTTTTTAAACTCAGACAGACTGGTAAAAGCCCAAAAAGCAACAAATGTTTTCAAGGAAGCAAGAAAAAAAATGAGAGAAAAAGTTTTCATAGGTAGCAGCATAAAGTATATGAGGAAGAGGAGAACAGAATTCCCTTATTTTGTAGGGGACATCAGGAGAGATGGAATATTTCCCCTTCATTTTCTCTTCAGCCCCAGCCCACTATTCCATTCTGCTTAGACATCCTGATGAAGCTGTTCACTTGCACCAGAGTTCCCTCCAAAGAATGCTTTCCTTCTTCCATTTCCACTGTCCAAAAAAGGTTGGAACCAGAGGCTGCCTTAGAGAACTGCAATTGGTGAAGCACACTGTAGAACACTTTGCCATATCCAGCTGCACATACAGCTTTCAGCCATCCTCTCCATTCTGAAGGCTGCAAGCATTCACTCTTCAGTCCTGACGTTATCACTTGTGTGATAATGCAGATTGTTAATTTTTATTTGTTTCACTAAAAGACAGCTGTAACAGAAGGTAATTCTCAACTGCTTATGAACACTGTGGCTGGGCTGGTCAGCTAAAGATCCTAAGAAATGCAAAGCACATAAGAGCACCTTTTCCTTCCTGTTTTATCATCACTGTTGGCTCAAAAGACCATAGTGGAAGGATCAAAACTACTTACTGATTAGCTTATAGTGCATGATGTTTTGCACTGAAATACCTGCAGACTAGAACAATGCAAGAACACCACAAATCAAGACTGCTGCCTATGCTGGCTTTATGTTAGGCAATACATTCCATTCTGTACTTTTCTGTCAAAAAGATAGAAAACCCACACATCGAAAACTAGTGACTAGGACACTGATTCTTCCTTATTTGTAGTAGACAGAAAAGCCACTCTCAGAGCTACAGTCTGCAAGAAAAGAAGCTGAAATAATTCTGAATGCAGGTCAAGAGGTACCATTTAAAAGTCTTCAGACTGAAAATAAGAATATCTGCTTCTGGTGAAAGAGAAACTGCTGTGCTAAGACAATAATGAAAATATCCTCACAAATGTCCTTCCCAGAATATTAACAACATGACTGTAACAGCTTATACAGGGGATTTATGCACACAAGACTATTTCCTGATTGCTTACGTTCCCTGGGACTATGCTTTCCTCTCAAGCATTCAAGTAATTTCCAGCTAATACCTTTTAAGTCCTAAGGCTAAAAGATGGAGTCCACTCTCTATACTGAATACAACATTAAATTGCCTTTCAATACTAGAGGGTTAAGTACTTCTCTCTTCTCCACCTGGACCCCACTAGGTTAGCAAGTAAGCATCCTCCCTGGGTTCTTCAGCTGAAGATTTTCTGCGGTACATGTTGAACTGTTATTGGAGGTCCTATTCTCTCAATCTCTCACATCCAAGCTGATCTCTGTCAGAATCATACAGATGACTTTAGCAGTGATTCTTAGTTACACATCACTCCTCTAAAGCTCTGGTTGCTTTCTTAGCTAGAATAAGTTGGCATAGTTCAGTTAAAGAACATAGCACTGTGTTGTTTTCTACAAGGTGGCTGCTGTGCTTGAGTGTCTCGCAAAATATTATGCTTTTGTTCTGCAGCAAACAAGCAAAATATCCTGAAATACTAGGTATGGGTTATTTTTAAGAGTACGTGTTTCACAAATTAACCTCTTCTTGGCCGGAGGCAATAATGCTTCATTTATTTGGTCATTCCTGTTTTGCTATGCAAAATACCAATACTATCAATTCTTCACTGAGCATAAGTGTAAGAATTTATAGATTTAAAGGCGAAATATTTTTCTATCTAGTCTGATCTCTTGACTAATACTGGTTACAGAATGTCATTAAAGAGAAACAAATGTTGTCTGATAGGACTCACTGTATTAAAATCAACCTTGTGCCTTGCTGTCAATGGAGAGTGTCTTGGTTTTGGAAGACAGGAGTCTGCTAGGGAGGGCAGGAGCCTCCCCTGGAATGAAAATGTAGACCCACTCCCTCTGATTTATAATAATTCTGAAATCAAGGGCTCTGAAGCAGAGATCTGGGGATAGGAATAACAGTTCTTTACTAGTATGTATAACAAGCCAAACAAACAACAATAACTACGGCGTTAGCAAGAAAACAGAACCAGGGAGCCCGTGATAACCTTCTTGGCCGAGACAGGAGAGGATGGAGGAGAGGCTTTGCTTCACAAACCCCCTCGGGCAGGCAGTCCCGGTGTTCCTGCAGGGCTCTGAGGAACACTCAGCTGGAACAGCAGGGATGAGCTGAGATCCCGGGCCAGTGGCTGAGGTGTATCAGCAGCTCCACAGCGGTGCCTGGCACTGCCACACGTCCCAGCAGGACAGGGGGTGAGAGGCCACCAATGAAGAGGGAAGAAGAAGAAGCAGCAGCTCCATCTGGGTGATGGCGAAATTCCCTTCTCCCCACCGCAACAGCTCTGCGCGCCCAAAGCGCTCTTCTCTGAAGCTGAAGAAGCTGCCAAACTGTCCCCGTCCTCCCCTTTTCCTTCCCCCTTCCCTCCCTGGGCACAGATGAACTTTGTGTTTTCTCAAGCACCCACCAAGTACCTGCAGTTAGGTTTTCCCTGCAACTAATGGGTAAAAATTCCAGTGGTAAGCCAAAACTAAAAGGAGGACACCTAACCCCCAACAGAGAGAAACTACTTCAAGGCAATTCACAGAATCTAATACTGAAATTCTAAGGTAGCAATGCTCTCTCTCTCTGTTGTATAGGGAGGGAACTGCAGGTCCAGATTTTGGTCTTACTGGATGAAATGTCCCTCTCTGTTGTTAAGCTTTTTCTGATATTCAAGAAGTCTGCAGAAAAACTATATATTTGTAGATCAGTAAAGGACTATAGGAATATTTTTGTCCCTATAATCCCATACAGGGTTGTTTTTGTCCCTTTCAATGTCATTTAGGGCACTGAATATTGAATTCTGTTTTTCTGTGGGTTGGATCTTGTTTTCAGATTCCTGTGGCACATATCTAATCGTCTATTTAGTGAGTTTGACAAACCAGGTCAGTAAGTCAGCAGAAAGAGCTCGAGACACAATTAGCCTATGCATGCATCCTGCTTCACTACAAAATTCAGAAATAGACACAAATAACATCAAAGTTTCAGCTGCCCTCTAAGTGTATATAGGAATAACCTACAGGAAATGAATTTTCTGATTTCTGATCACAAAATGATCAAACAAGTCAAGAAGCTGATAGAGATAGTGATCCAG